AACATAATACTTCATAACTTTAGATTTTTCATACAAATTTTATAAAAATCAAAACAAAACTTTATAAGATATCGAAATTTTCAAAAAATATTTATAACTCGAAGAAGTTATAAATACCTTAAGTAAATTACAAAAAAAAAAAAAAAAACTCAGTCAAATACATATTTCTAACATTCTAAAGCAAAAACTTGATTTAGTCCCTTTACATTTAATCTAACCATATCTATTTAACAAAATGTATTAAAAACACATGTGTATGTATGTATAAGTATGTTGGTTTCTCATACATGAACATAAAATGTATTAAGAGAGCAGAAAAAAAACATTGACCTTGTATATTCGCACAATTTGTGTTGTGCAAAAAAAAAAAAAAAAAAGAAGAAACGGCTGAAAAAACAATAAGAAATACAAACAAAATTTTTTATTTATTATTTGTTATTATGGTCGTTTTTGTTTTTAAGATTTTGTTTTCATTTTTCTTCTTCTTTAAGTTTTATTTTTCTCTAGTTTTTTTCTTTCTCTTTTTTTCTGTTGTTGTTTATGTTTTTGTATATTTTTAAAGCAAACAAATCCATTATAATACACGAGAAACACGATAACAAAGGAATTGCCTTGTGAGCGAACACATGTGATGAGAGAGGTTCTACACGAAGGTGGTAAAAAGGGGATAATAGTTTCTTCTGTAGTCTCGTATAGGATTCAACTTCTAGTTCTATTCTAGTTCGGTTCTAGTTCAGTTCTAGTTCTAGTTCTAGTTCAGTTCTGGTTCAGTTCTAGTTCAGTTCTAGTTCAGTTCTAGTTCAGTTCTAGTTGAGTTCTAGTTCAGTTCTAGTTCAGTTCTAGTTCAGTTCTAGTTTAGTTCTAGTTGAGTTCTAGTTCAGTTCTAGTTCAGTTCTAGTTCAGTTCTAGTTCAGTTCTAGTTCAGTTCTAGTTCAGTTCTAGTTCAGTTCTAGTTCAGTTCTAGTTCAGTTCTAGTTCAGTTCTAGTTCAGTTCTAGTTCAGTTCTAGTTCAGTTCTAGTTCAGTTCTAGTTCAGTTCTAGTTCAGTTCTAGTTCAGTTCTAGTTCAGTTCTAGTTCAGTTCTAGTTCAGTTCTAGTTCAGTTCTAGTTCAGTTCTAGTTCAGTTCTAGTTCAGTTCTAGTTCAGTTCTAGTTCAGTTCTAGGTCAGTTCTAGTTCCAGTTCAGTTCTAGTTCAGTTCTAGTTCAGTTCTAGTTCAGTTCTAGTTCAGTTCTAGTTCAGTTCTAGTTCAGTTCTAGTTCAGTTTTAGTTCAGTTCTAGTTCAGTTCTAGTTTAGTTCTAGTTTAGTTCTAGTTCAGTTCTAGTTCAGTTATAGTTTAGTTGTAGTTCAGGTTTTAGTTATGATCTCGTCCAGTAGTACCACAAAAGTATTAAATATAAGCAGTAGCAAACAAAAGAGAACATTAAAATCTTTATCAAAGTTTTAAGCTTTGTACTACTACTCGTTCTGATAGCGTAAAAAAAGCTTTTATTTCCATGTGTGTGTATGTGTTTTTATTATGCTCATCTATTTATCTCTGTACTTTTCTTTAAATTCGACATAGATTCCTTTATACTATATTTTCCTATTGTTGTTTTTGTATTTTTGGAATTTTAGTTTTGTAGTTTTTATAAGGGTTTTAAATGACTAAATTTAAGTTTGGTGGCGTATGAGTGTTGTATAGATTCATTTAATTTAATGATACTTATACGTTCTAGTGGTTGGATTTAATGGTTTAATTAAAAATGGTATAATATGGTATTTATCTAAAATAAACAATAGATTATTAGTTTATTATTAATTAGTTAGATTTTAAATGTATTATTGAGTTTGTAAGGCACAGTGGGATTTTTTCAACAATAAGTTATAAACACGTCCTGTAATTGACGGTGTTGCTAATGTTCATTGAATAAATATTTCATTAGTATTTATTTATTCATCCTAATTACTTAAAATTCCTTTTACAAAAATTTTGCAACACATTTACATATTAAAATCATAAAATTTTAACATTTGTGGAGCAATTAATAATATTGTTTGCCAGAAATGTGCATTTAACCATAACAAATTTTGCCATAAAATATATTATTTTTATAAAAATAAATATTTTACACAAAAATTACCTAAATAATTGCAACGGAAAAATATGCTAAAAACAACTGCTTGTATTTATTTATACAAAATAATTAAAAATTTAGGAAAAAATAGCTAAATAAACACAAAATATTTTAAAATAGAAAAACTATAATGAAAACTAAATAACACGCAGTCATAGTTTTATAGAAAAGTGCCCTATAAAAATGAAATTCGAAAAGAATCTTTATAGACTAGTCTACCGTAGACTGATGGCTCGAGAATGGAATATAATCTCACTTTTACATACTTGTCTTGTTTGCAGACATGACTTATTAAGTCATGTTTACAGTATGGACTATGAATTGACTACAGTTTTGACAAGACTATAGTCTTGTCTATAGTTTAGACTATGATCTTATCTATAGTCTGGACTATATGCGGGACTATAGTCTGGACTATATTCTCGTCTATAGTCTTGTCCATGGTCTGGACTATAGTATTGTCTGTAGTCTTGTCTATAGTCTGGACTATAGTCTTGTCTATAGTCTGGACTATAGTCTTGTCTATAGTCTGGACTATAGTCTCGTCTTTAGTCTTGTCTATAGTCTTGATTATAGTCTTAGGCTGATGTCAGAGTGCCTGCTACAAGCGAAGCTTTGTGCTACAAACTTTTGCTTGTGCTTTATCGCATCAAGCGATATAGTTTTGTCTATAGTCTGGAATGAAGTTTTGTCTATGGTCTGCTCTATAGTCTTGTCTATAGTCTGGACTATAGCCTCGTCTATAGTCTGGACTATAGTCTCGTCTTTAGTCTTGTCTATAGTCTGGACTATAGTCTTATCTTTAGCCTGGACTATAGTCTTATCTATAGTCTTGTCTGTAGTCTGGACTATAGTCGTGTCTATAGTCGTGTCTATAGCCTGGACTATAGTATGGTTTATAGGCTGGGCTATACTCTTGTCTATAGCCTGGACTAAAGTCTTGTCTATAGTCTGAACTATAGTCTTATCTATTGGCTGGACTATTGTCTTGTCTATAGTCTGAATTATAGTTTTGTCTATAGTCTGCACTATTATAGTTTTGCTTTTAGTCTAGACTATAGTCTTGTCTATAGCCTGGACTATAGTATCGTTTATAGTCTGGGCTATAGTCTTGTGTATAGTCTGAACTATAGTCTGGACTACAGTTGTGTCTATAGTCTTATCTATAGCCTGGACTATAGTCTTTATAGTCTGGATTATTGTATTGTCTATAGTCTGCACTATAGTCTTGTGTATAATCTGGACTATAGTCTTGCCTATAGTCTGGACTATAGTATTTTCTGAAGTCTGGACTATATTCTTGTCTATCGTCCTATCTATAGTCTGTCCTATAGTATTGTTTATAGTCTAGACTATAGTCTTGTCTATAGCCTGGACTTTATTCCCGTTTTTGGTCCGGGCTATAGCCTTTTCTATAGTCTGGACTAGATTCTTGCCTATAGTCTGGACTATAGTATCTTTTATAGTCTGTGCTATAGTCTTGTCTATTGTCTGGACTGTATTCTTGTATATATTCTGGACTATAGTATGGACATTAATCTTGTCTGTAGTCTGTACTACAATTTGTTCTAAAGCCTGTACTGTAGTCTTGTCTATAGTCTGTACTATAGTCTTATCTATAGTCTTATCTATAGTCTTATCTATAGCCTGGACTATAGTCTTGTCTATAGTTTGAACTATGGTCTTGTCTATAGTTTGGACTATAATCCTGTCTCTAGTCTGGACCGTAGTCTCGTCTATAATCTGAACTATAGTCTGGCCTATAATAGGGACTATGGTCTTGTCTGCAGTCTTGTCTATAATCTTGACTATAGTCAGGACGATATTCTTGTCTATAGTCTGGACTATAGTCTTGTCAATAGTCTCGACTATAGTTTCCATTTTCCATGGTCATTCTTCATTATGCATTTATGTATTATTTAATTTTGCCATAATTTGCCATTTATTGCTGCACTTTTGCATATTTTATGCCCAATTAATTAAAATCTTATGCTGCATCAACTATTTCTAGTGATGGCAATGAATTTATATTCATAATTCATTTTGTACACATCCAAATGAAAATTCTATATAGATGGTCAAGTTTCATTTGGGGTGTTTTTAAATGAAATTTATGGTTTATTAATAATCGACAATGATTTATCGCAGAGATGTTGATTGAGACATTAAAAACGAAATTAAATTTAATTGGAAAACTAAACATGAAAAGAATTTTTTTAAAGCTACAAAATATTTCTCTCTTAAATTTTTGTACAAAAATCTTGATATTCTACAAAAACATCCAACACGTGTCCCTAAACAAATCACGTTATTCATATAAATCCTTTATAAAAATAATTTGAAAAACAAACAAATTAATCAATCATTCATTATGTTGACTAAACAAATTATTGGCCCGATTAAATAAGAAATTATTTGCTTATTAATTAGTTAACTGTCAATAGCAAATTGCTAATTGACTCATACTTAGTATTTTTAGATTATCAACTCTATTTAAGTTGTTGGTGACATTAGATTTTTGTATTTGTTTTTAGCAGTTTTATAGTAATAAATAAACAAATAATGAAATTTTCCTTTATAACGTTTTAATTTGTTTTATTTTGCATAAAATATTGGTTGTCATCGCATCAGTTATGCGTTGGTGGTGACATTTTGCAAGAAAGAAAAAAATTATATAAAAAAAAGTAAAATATTTATGGGTATGAAGTAGAAAAATATATTGGTTAAGGTTGAATCATAAATATTAATATGCTTTGCATAATTATGTTTTTTTTAAGTTTGAGTTTTTATTACGCCATATTAAAAAGTAAATATGTATGTGCAATGATATTTGCCTGCAAGTTATAATTATTGAAATATTAATTACATTTTCTTTTTTTCTTTACAGATTTCTTTTTGTATGTTATTAAAACCATAAAAAGTGAGTAGTAATTGAAAAAAATATATCAAATCCCGAACCTATAAAGATCGATTTTTTACAGAGTAAAATTAATTTTCAAGGTTACGTTATTTTATATTCCAGATAATTATCTACTCTATCGTCTAATCTATAGCATAACTTATAGTCAAGACTATAGTCTAACATACATACATATATACCAGACTATAGTCTATCTTATAGTTCAGACTATAGTCTATATTATAGTTCAGACTATAGCCTATATTATAGTCCAGAGTGTAGTATATTCTATGATCCAGACTACAAACTAATCTATACTACACTAATCTATATACTATAGTTTACTGCATAGTCTCTTCTATAATCCAAACTATAGTCCAGACTATGGTCTATTCTATAGACTATTCTATAGTCTATTCTAATCTATAGTCCATAGTGTATTCTATAGTCAAGACTATAGTATATTCTATAGACAGGCTATAGTATAATTTTTAGACCAGATTATAGCCTATTCTTTAGTCGAGACTATAGTCTATTCTTTAGTCCAGGCTATAGTCTACTCTATAGTCCAGACTGTAGTCTATTCTATTATTTAGGCATAGGATACCATAGTCTATTCCCTAGTTCTAGACTAACTGAACTAGAACTGAACTAGAACTGAACTAGAACTGAACTAGAAGAACTAGAACTGAACTAGAACTGAACTAGAACTGAACTAGAACTGAACTAGAACTGAACTACTAGAACTGAACTAGAACTGAACTAGAACTGAACTAGAACTGAACTAGAACTGAACTAGAACTGAACTAGAACTGAACTAGAACTGAACTAGAACTGAACTAGAACTGAACTAGAACTGAACTAGAACTGAACTAGAACTGAACTAGAACTGAACTAGAACTGAACTAGAACTGAACTAGAACTGAACTAGAACTGAACTAGAACTGAACTAGAACTGAACCAGAACTGAACTAGAACTAAACTAGAACTGAACAGACTATAGTTTATTTTAAGTCCAGACTATAGTCTAAAAAATAGTTTATTCTAAAATTAGTCTAGACTATAAACTCTTGCTATAAGTTGTCCCTTATTTACACTTCAATCCACAAATTAGTAAATGAGAATAATTTTATTTGTGTTTACAATGTTACCGGTTTTTGCCGGTACCGTCTGCCGGTACATTACTGATGTTGTTTAACAACATATATTTTTTTTAATTTTTAGTGATTTCACATTTACAATTTACCTCTTCCTCCCGCCGTTAAGGGTGTCAGTGGACATACCGGAAATAGTTGAGCTTGTAAAAATTGCACTCGACCGCCCAAATCCATTTTCACAAAACAATTATTTTCAACACTTCAACTAAGAAACATTTTAAAGTAACACATTTTTTACACTCATTGATTTCTTTTGTAACCGACTCGTTTGTCTTTATACAACACGTTTGAAATAAATCACAAAATCCTTTTCAATTTCCGTTATTTCCTTTCGACCGGATGTTGATATAAAATATTTTACTGTTAGTTTGGCACTACACATACACAAAGTGCAGAGAACATAAAAAATAAACCTTGAGATTAACGAAAAAAAGGATTTTTAATAATTCTTTTATTTATAAGGATATTTAAGGATTTTGTTTTTTTTTTCTACTAAAATTCTTTTGCAAAATAAAATTCTTTTATGGATTTTGTTCTACCACTCGGTATTAACAATTCACGTGTTCAACGCGCTACTAACAAGTTTTATAATAAATTTTTAGATTTTTTCCCTTTTAGTAAATATAAGAAGGAAAATACTCTGCAATTGTTGTTGGGGTTTTTATTTCGATAGTATTTTTTGGCAGTTTTTTTCTCTATAAAACATGCATTGAAATCAACAAATAAACAAACAAATGAAAAAAAAGTTAAATTGGAAAATACATCTATTCAACCATACATTCCACTGGTTGTATATATTTAATTGTATTTGTACACAATGATTTAACAAATAACAGAAAAAAAAAACTACCAAGGAAATTCCTTGGATACCTGTAAGGCCCTTTTTGGGGGGTATATAGTAATAGTTGTTGTAATGTACTGTGTAATAGTTGTATTTGTTAGGTTACCAAACTCTGTTGTTATTTTTTTATTTTGCATACGAGTTCATTCTTCTTTTACTCAAACAATCTACACCATTTCCCAGTGTATTTCAGAAACACTCTGCTATATATATAACAACTTCAACTTCATCTTTTGAAAACTTCTTCACTATAGTTCAACATTACTAAATTACAATCGAAAATGGTGCATTTTCTAACAACATTTTTGAGGGTTTTTTGTGAGGTGCAGAGAATTGAAAAAGTTTGGTTTCTTTTGTTGAAAAACATCAAAACACAGTTAATCGAATAAACTGCTGCAGTAGCTGTAGTAGTAGGAAGAAGTGTTGATAAAGTGGAATGTAATGAAAAGTTTGATTATAAATACTACAACTAAAACAATGTAAACAACTAAGAAGGTTAAACTCGGATCCATTAATCTAGAATTGCACCAAACATTGAACACATAATCATGCAGCCACTAACTATGGTAATTTAACTGAAATTAATTAGCTGCCTTATAGTTTATTGCTTAGACAATTCCATATTCTATTCCATAGTCCCGACTGTAGCTTATAGTTCAGACTAAAGTCTATTCCATAGGTCAGACTATAGTCTATGCTATAGTTCATACTATAGTCTATTCTATAGTCGAGACTAGTCTATTCTATAGTCCAGACTATAGTCTATTTCATATTCGAGACTATAGTCTATTATATAGTCCAGTCTATAGTCTATTCTATAGTCCAGACAATAGTATATTCTATAGTCCAGACTATAGACTATTTCATAGCTCAGAATATGGTCTATTCTATCGTCCAGACTATAGTATATTTTATAGTCTAGACTATAGTCTATTTTATAGTTCAGAATATAGTCTATTCTATAGTGGAGACTAGTCTATTCTATAGTCCAGACTATAGTCCAGTCTATAGTCTATTCTATATTCGAGACTATAGTCTATTCTAAAGTCCAGTTTATAGTATATTCTATAGTCGAGACAAGTATATTCTATAGTCCAGACTATAGTCTATTTTATAGTCCAGACTTTAGTCTATTATATAGTCCAGTCTATAGTCTATTCAATAGTCCAGACTATAGTCCATTCTATACTTCAGACTATAGTCTATTTTGTAGTTCAGACTATAGTCTATTCTTTAGTCGAAACTAGTCTATTCTATAGTCCAGACTATAGTCTATTCTATAGTCCAGACTATGGTCTATTCTATAGTCGAGACTATAGTCTATGCTATTGTCCAGACTATAGTCTATTCTATAGTACAGACTATAGTACAGACTATAGTCCATACTATAGTCTATTCTATAGTCCAGTTAGTTAGTTAGTTATTTAGTTAGTTAGTTAGTTAGTTAGTTAGTTAGTTAGTTAGTTAGTTAGTTAGTTAGTTAGTTAGTTAGTTAGTTAGTTAGTTAGTTAGTTAGTTAGTTAGTTAGTTAGTTAGTTAGTTAGTTAGTTTGTTTGTTAGTTTGTTAGTTTGTTAGTTTGTTAGTTTGTTAGTTTGTTAGTTTGTTAGTTTGTTAGTTTGTTAGTTTGTTAGTTAGTTAGTTAGTTAGTTAGTTAGTTAGTTAGTTAGTTAGTTAGTTAGTTAGTTAGTTAGTTAGTTAGTTAGTTAGTTAGTTAGTTAGTTAGTTAGTTAGTTAGTTAGTTAGTTAGTTAGTTAGTTAGTTAGTTAGTTAGTTAGTTAGTTAGTTAGTTAGTTAGTTAGTTAGTTAGTTAGTTAGTTAGTTAGTTAGTTAGTTAGTTAGTTAGTTAGTTAGTTAGTTAGTTAGTTAGTTAGTTAGTTAGTTAGTTAGTTAGTTAGTTAGTTAGTTAGTTAGTTAGTTAGTTAGTTAGTTAGTTAGTAGTTAGTTAGTTAGTTAGTTAGTTAGTTAGTTAGTTAGTTAGTTAGTTAGTTAGTTAGTTAGTTAGTTAGTTAGTTAGTTAGTTAGTTAGTTAGTTAGTTAGTTAGTTAGTTAGTTAGTTAGTTAGTTAGTTAGTTAGTTAGTTAGTTAGTTAGTTAGTTAGTTAGTTAGTTAGTTAGTTAGTTAGTTAGTTAGTTAGTTAGTTAGTTAGTTAGTTAGTTAGTTAGTTAGTTAGTTAGTTAGTTAGTTAGTTAGTTAGTTAGTTAGTTAGTTAGTTAGTTAGTTAGTTAGTTAGTTAGTAGTTAGTTAGTTAGTTAGTTAGTTAGTTAGTTAGTTAGTTAGTTAGTTAGTTAGTTAGTTAGTTAGTTAGTTAGTAGTTAGTTAGTTAGTTAGTTAGTTAGTTAGTTAGTTAGTTAGTTAGTTAGTTAGTTAGTTGTGGCCTCCGGTGGGTTAGTGGTTAGTGTTCTAGTCTGGTAGACCGGAGGTGGTGGGTTCGATTCCCACCTGATGCACTGGTTAAGGAGCGCACAACAGGCTCGATAGAGGCCTAGGTGTATTTCCTCGGATTTGATGTATATATGTACATCCTCCTTTCAAACTAACTAACTAACTAACTAACTAGTTAGTTAGTTAGGTTAGTTAGTTAGTTAGTTAGTTAGTTAGTTAGTTAGTTAGTAGTTAGTTAGTTAGTTAGTTAGTTAGTTAGTTAGTAGTTAGTTAGTTAGTTAGTAGTTAGTTAGTTAGTTAGTTAGTTAGTTAGTTAGTTAGTTAGTTAGTTAGTTAGTTAGTTAGTTAGTTAGTTAGTTAGTTAGTTAGTTAGTTAGTTAGTTAGTTAGTTAGTTAGTTAGTTAGTTAGTAGTTAGTTAGTTAGTTAGTTAGTTAGTTAGTTAGTTAGTTAGTTAGTTAGTTAGTTAGTTAGTAGTTAGTTAGTTAGTTAGTTAGTTAGTTAGTTAGTTAGTTAGTTAGTTAGTTAGTTAGTTAGTTAGTTAGTTAGTTAGTTAGTTAGTTAGTTAGTTAGTTAGTTAGTTAGTTAGTTAGTTAGTTAGTTAGTTAGTTAGTTAGTTAGTTAGTTAGTAGTTAGTTAGTT